ATTCTGTCACAGTTGGTTGAAACATGTGTTGAGAGTTTTGAGAGGAATAAATTAAATGTTGAGAATGACATGAGGTTGGCGTTAACAAAATCTCACCCGCGAATTTTGAGGCTGGTTAATAATACATGCAATTTCAACCATCTCATTAAATTAATTATTAAACATAATTTAAAGTAAAATTATAACAAAAAACTAATTTCATTGTCTTTTTAATTACCTTATTAAAAATACCTTTTTCAATTGTATCGAGGTCGCGGGTCACTTGGCTTTTATAAAAAGGGGGTCGCCACCCGAAAAACATTGGGAACCGTTGTTCTAGAGTAAGCTACAAGATTCATAATTTTTACAGTTCTTCTACTTATTTATAGAGACTGAAGTTAATTTCCTTCTGTTTGTAACTTAAATATATCACTCATAGAAATCCAAATATATTAGAGATTTTACATATTAATCTTTTAAATAAAGACAATCTTACTTGTGGTTGCTCTGAATATTCAATAGAAGGTAAAAGATGTAGCATGGATACTATAACACCAGGATGAACTATCATAGGATCTGGGGTAGGAGGTGCAAAATTTAAAGATGCAACAGCTGGCCATTTGCTAGGTGAAGAATCCTTAAATATTCCAGTTGCACCAGAATCAGAATGAACTCTGCGCAAAGGTTGTGGAATCATCTTTGACATTACATTTGGCCTAAAAAATACAAGATTAGTAATAAAAACAAATTTCTGTTACTAGTTATTATTAACTTATGTATAAAAGTATTTTTATGTAAGAAATAATATACTATAAAATTCTAGATTCATTTTATAATTATAAAAATGTATGCATTGACTTTTTATGCCTTTTAATATAAAAGAACAACTAAAATCTAAAAAATTTCTAATATGCATCCAAAATACAATCTTAAAAAATTTGAAGTTTTGTTTTTATCTGAGAAATTACAAAATAAAGATAAACAATTGCAAAAAGCAATTCAAGTTTGGTAAACTGATAGTTGCTTCTTTACACATCACTTTAGGAAAAAAATAATAATAATCAATTCTATAACATTTTACAAGTTTAATGTAAACAACTGAATTTTAAAATAATAATTATCATTAGTTTATATAGACAATTTAATCAAAACTTTTCAAAATTAATAATTTTACTAAATGAAAACAACTTTTATGTATATTTTTTAAACAGATAACAATATATACAACATAATTATAATGTTTTTTATAATCCCTAAAATCTTATGTAAATGTGTAGTTTAATCTTAATAGAAAAATATGTGATAATGGTCATACAATTTTAATATGCATATTTTACACATACAAATTACTAATACATGTTTATAGCAATACATACTTATCAAATATATCCAATGCCATATCATACAAAAGACGTAATACTGAACACGTTGATAAAAGTAATGATGGAATGTGCTCTACATCTGATCTGGAAAAAAATTAATATTTAATCAATCACTTAAATTATTTCAGATATTTAAATTCAATATTTGTTTTAAAGATATATTTTTACATTAAAAAAAAACAAATCCTTAATTGCTGAATTAATTTCAATATTAAGTAATTTGTTCTACAGGTAGGTCTCCTAATAGTCTACACTTAGAGCAAATTAGAACCAAGCAATTAAATAAAATTTAAATTATTATTCATTAATCTAATTTTATATGGTACAGTAAAAACTCAATTATCTGTCATTCTTTTATCCATCAGCTTATGTTAACTGTCAGAGTGCTAAATTCAGCTTTAGAGAGTAGAATTACTGTATTTTCTCTTTTCTGCACTGTGCTGGTATTGCATCATATATAAATACTGCACTGTACAGTAAATAAACAGCTTTTTGATTGTACAGTACTGTACACATAGGATTGTGTATTAATTTTCCGTACTAACAGGAAGAATTTTATTATCAGTCTATTCTCATATCCATCATGGTCTCAATCCCAACTTAACAGATAGTATAGTTTCTACTGTATATTAAAACTTTCACTTAATCTAATATTGTCAAAGTGTATTCACTTAAAAGATGAAACTTGTAACTGTGAATTGTATTCTATTAATATTTTACTAAACTATTTTATTTATTAAAATGAAAATTTAAAATTGCAAGGTATGTTTTAATTCATAAATATATTTTGGTTGAAATATTTATGAAAGAACACTTCCAATTTATTTAAAAAAAAAAAAAACGGATTTTCTTTGGAGCTAAAATTAAACTAATTTTAATTAATTGAAAATCTATGAATGAGCATACAACTGCAAATTATTTACTCAAAAGGTTTTAATCGTTAAATATTAAAATTTTATAACTTACAAAATCGTATAATCAATAAAATAAAATAAAAGTAATAAAATACGCAAATTATGAAATTTAATATGAAGACTTTAGACTTTTTTAAGGGCAGCTCCAGACACTTGTTATTTGCCAAATGATAAGCAAACATTTGGCCAATACAGAGTAATATGGATGATTTACTCATTATGAATATTCAGTATTCACTGTTTCCAAATTCTTGTCATTAATTAAGCCAAATAAATGGGGATAAATATTAATGCTCACATTCATGTATTTCTTTGTTTTTGGTCATTTTCTCAAAATGGAATGGTATAATGAAACTATAATTGAAATGAAAAATATTCTGTTGCTGAATTAAGGAAAAAAAGAATCTTTAATGGCATTGTTTAGAACAAGTTATAACAAAATAAAGAGTATTAAAAGTAGAGTAAGGACAGATGAAATATATATGTCAAACTGATTTGTTATTTTTCATTAACAGATATAAACTATTCATAACTACAAAAGCAACAGCACAAATTATTTCTTGAGAATTGTCCATTTTCTAGATCTATGACAAACATTTGTCATTCCCACAATGAACTGATACTCAGTAAATAATCATATGTATGTATATATGTGCTCACCATGTGACAAACACTTCTGCAAATACATTGGTGAAAGCTACTTATTTGGCACTTGGCAAATACTGAATGTGTGTAAAGAATCCTAAAGCTATAATCTGGCTTTGGTTTATTGTATGTTTTCAATTTAAATTTGAAAACAAAATCTGCTTCTAAGAATCATCAGAACAAGATTTATTAAAAATAATAAATTAGTTTCTATAAGGCTTTACAATAATTAATTTTACATATAATTCTGATTTCATAATAAATTAGTAAGGTATACAGATATTAATGCTAAATGTAATATTTTTTAAATTTTAATATGACTTGTCTTCAGCAACAGTTTAACATAAAGCCATGTTCAAAAATATGTAAATTCTCAAGATCATTAATTTGAATGATATATAAAAGGTTTTTGTTCTAACTAAATATATGAATTTATTTCATAATTATATCTTGAAGCTTAAATGTTAAAATATTTTATCTTTCATGATCAGATCAAGTAAGAATGTCATAAAGATGTTTACATAAAAATTATTTATAATGCAATAAAAATAAGATAGCATAAAAATGATCAAATATTGTCATCAATTAGAAAATACTTTAATACTAATATTGAAATATTATTAGTAGAATTTATTTAAAGAAATCCATTTAGATAACAAAAGAAGTAAACTTAAATATTCTTTTACAGTGTTTCTGATATACTTTTTTAAAGTATCAATCATTTAATTCTTATAGTTCTATTTGTTTTGTAAGACGATGAACATGGTATCATTCTTCTAAATAAGGTGTTGCTAACAATGCATATATCATAAATAACATTTCTGTTGTCACAACTGCTATTAGAATTCCTGTAAGAATTATATATATTTTTGTTTGAAAATGAATGATTACATTTTTTTAGTATACTGTGAAAAACTAAAGTTTAGTTCTAAAACACTGTCATGCAATAATATCTGATAACAGAGAAGGATTCAAATGGATTTAGAAGATTTGAGAAAATTCTTGTAAAGAATGTTTTTGGAGATTACTGTAAGTCACTTCTTCCACACTTTTAACAAAGTTAACAATAAATAAGCTTAAACTGTATTTATTTGTATTTATTATTATGTTTCAATAATGACTAGATGATAACATTTCAATTTAAAGTAAAAATTTAGTTTAAAACACAATTGATTCAGTTAAAAATTACAAACTTTGCAATACTAGGCTAGGTTAATGGAGATGTGATGTGGCCTCTCATTCTACTATTATTGCTTGTTATGTGCCTTTCAACTCTTGCTAAACCAAATATATGCTACTATTGATATTGGTATGAAAGTGCAAACATATACTTTAATATGTATTCTGAGCAACACACTGCTCCCACTGCTAGTTTGCATATCTGAAGAACCATCTCTCATGAGTCATCCCTAGTAGTGTTGCAAGATACTGTATATTGATGGCACAGCAGTTTGTTCAGTAAATCTTGCACCCTCATGAGGTACATTTAATGACAGGGCTGCAAATAGCCATTTTCCGCAAGATAATGCTCAGCTGCAAATAGGGTTTTCCAGAATGTCTCTGTCATGTTGCCACATTTCCTTGGGCCTGCTCTTCAGATCTGTCACTGATTGATCAAGCATTTTTGGAACCAGACAGAATGTCAGCTTGAGCTATCTATACATGTGAGAATCTGATGTGGCAGTTACAACATATGAGGGCAGATCTGTTGCAAGCTAGTGTACAATGCCTCCATGCTCAAATATATCACCACTTGTATCAGGCAATTGAAAGTACTAAAGGTTTCTTTAAATTATACCAATGTTCAACAGAAAATTGTCTCTTTGCTATGAAATTGTAATCACTTATTCTCATCATCATGTTCACACTAATAAAGTTCATTCAATTCCAACATTTTTGTCAATGAATGTAATATTAAAAAGTTTTAATAGAAAAATACATTGTAACTTATAATCTGCTAATGGTAAAATGAACTTTTGAAATATTATCAAACGAGTTGCTTAGATAGTTATGGATACAAATATGGAACTAGTTTAGACTGTTACACTAATCACTACTTACTATTTAAAATTACTCTTTTATAATTGGAAAGATTTCAAAACAGTCAGAGATAAGAGAGTAGATAAAAATATATTTACTTGTAGCATATTAGTCTCTTACATCATCAATAATATGAAATGATCTTACAAGATCTTTTATGAATTACAGATACAACTGTTAACTATGTAAATAAAATAATTAACTCAACTATGTCACTATTCAAAAATTTTTTCCAGAAAATTCTCAATTGAAACTCTAATCAAGAATGTCATAGGATTTTGCATTTTTACACCTAGTTTTGTACTTGTATGTATATGATCAACATTCCATTTTTTCATTCAATTTAGAAAAAAAAAATTAGTAGTATTATCTGCCATTTTTACTTATTAATATAAAATAACGAAATTTTACCTAGAATCTTTCAAACATGTGAACACAGTATGGAATGCATGATCTTCAGTTGGAACAAAAGCAAAATCAACTGGTCCCACATCTATGTTATTACTGAAACAGCCTAGAAGACGAACTGTATCAGTCAAACTCGTATGACAAATCTAGAAAATACAAGTAATTATAAAGAAAACAGTTTATTAAAATCTATTTCTCAATTAGTAATTTGAAAAATTATTAAAATTCTAATATTAATATTTTTATAATTATTATTTTATTTTACTTACTTATTATAATATTTATCTNTATCTTATTACAAATAAAGTATAAACTGTATAAAATCCAATGTATATATTGGATTTTATACAATATTATCAACAAGATATTCCAAACATTTTTTCAGATCCAATACATTCTAAACAAAATATGAATGGAGAAAGTGTCCATGTAATCTCTGGGATAGGAACAAGCATTACCATTGAATTTGTAACATAATGAACATAGAACTCATAGGTTCTATGTTCATTATGTTACAAATTCGAAGAATTTCTTGTAAAATCATACTAATTAAAGAGAAAATAAAAAAAATCACTTTCAAGCTATAATCGATCACATAGAATGATAACATAATTGTATATTATATGTACTTTTTATAGAATTATAGTGACAAAAAAATTACTTGTCTAAAGTTTGTTTGTATATGTATCCTTAAGCTAATAATTTCATATTTGAATGAAATGAAAGAATATATATATTTACAATATATTTAAGTATATATTGTACTGTACATAGTATTGTAAATAATAATACAGTGGTGCCTTATACTTCAAATTTAATTCATTCTGGAAGCCATTTGAACTCTGAACCATTTTTTTCCCATTAGAAATAATGGAAAGCAAATTAATCCATTCCCAGACTTGAATAAAGTTAAACATAGCAAATACACATAATTTAAGGTAAAAATAACACAATCAAAGGCTCTGATAATAAGTTAAAACATGAAAAAAATACATACAATATGTAAATACCATATAATAAAATGAAAATTGCATTTACTTGTAGCACACTGTTAACTTCAGTATCTTAAAATATAGCTGCCATATCTGCCACAAGTGTACCACTTACATGCTCCACAATAACTTCCTTTTTCATCTCAATCATCAATTTTACACCTTTCCTCTTAGACTTTATTGCCTCCATACACTTCTCAGATGCCACAGTTAATAAGTAAAGGCTATATTGGGTCAAACAGAAAGTTTTTGCATATTTTTAACAGTTGTCCTTACTAAATATAGATGTGCAATTTAATTATAACAGCTGTGAAAGTTAACACAGTATTGCTACTGCAAAATTATACTTTTTGTTTAGAACTTTCTTTTAAACTTTTTACTTTAAACTTTTACTTTACATTTTGTTTGAATAAAATCAAATTGAAATATCTTCAGATTAAAAGCATATCAGGCATATTATGTACAAGTTTCGAAAAGGATATAATGCAGTATAAAAACAGTAAAAATAAATTTGTAATGTGTATGGGGAAGATGATCCTAAACTTCAAGCATCTGAAATATGGGGTTTAAAATTTCTATTCAAAAATTTTTAAAGTAAAGGATACAAAACATACATGGTACCCAAAAGCTTTCAATAGTGAAAAATTGCAGGAAGAAATGATTAAAAATCAATGAATAACACACAATACAGTCTATACTGTATAATCAAACACATCAAAAACAAAGCATAAAAAACCACTGAAAACATGAGAGTAATGCAAGAATGAGAGCAAGATACAACTTAGGTGCACAACAGATCGTATTTATGCTTTGAGCATATTTTTTCACTGTGTATGCAGTTCGAACTCAAGGTAAATTTTTGTCAAATTTAGCGTTCAGATTCTGAAGTGTTCAAAGTACAAGGTACCACTGTATATAAAAAACTATATCATTAATTAATACTTATAATTAACATATAATAAAATAGATAATTTTTACCTTTATTACCTTGTCATTTTTATTTATAGTGTTAGTATTTTGTATATAAAAGACAGATATAGTTTTGAGAAATAGATATTGCCAAAGAAAAAAAAAATTAGTGTCTTATCATATATTTTTGTTGTTATATTTATACAGTGAAGCCTCCATTAATAATAGACACTCCCAAATATCACTTAACAGGCATATTTACAATCACAAGAACTTTCAAATAAGACATCTATTATGCAAGGGTTATTTTTTTTCAACTTCCACTAAAAAAGATTGGAAACATGTGAGACAGGGACAGGGTGCACACCTAGTAAGTAGTATATTCCCTCACCACTTAGCATTGTGCCAAGCTTCTTTAGACATTTGCTACTCTGCAGTAAACATGTAAACATGATGCCACCAATCTAGTTTCCTGCAAACTGTGAAGTACAAGCAGTAATTTGATTTCTACAGCTGAAGGGCTGAATGGAGGTGAAATTCATCAAAGGATGTGTAATGTATATGGTGAGAACCTCGTGAGCTACGGATGTGTGCATGAATGATGCAGGAAATTCAAACAAGGACATGACAACATTCATGATGAGAGCAGCCAAGGGAGGAAGTGTGTGATGACCAATGATTTAGTGGACAAAGCGGATCAATTATTGTGAGAAAGGCATTGGTTCATGATTTCTGAGCTCAATGAGGAGTTTCCTCAAATTTCAAGGTCCACACTGTATACCGCTAACTGACAGTGTTAAAAGTTGGCTGAATGACCTTGGCAGCAACATTCTTCGACATGAGTACACAAAAACTGGTGTTACAGTATGATATCTGCTTGAATCGACAAGGCAATTATGTGGAAAAATAGGTGAAGACTGTAACTACCTTCTACAAATAAAGTGGTTTTGTTCTTCATTCTTGTTTTTTATTCTGGGTTGGTGGAGGTTTAAAAAATAACCCTCGTATACATCTAAATAGCAGACACTCTAAATAATGGATGCCATCATCCATAACCAACCTTACAAAAACTCAATGTCCCATCTTCAATATTCCAAAAGAATTAATTATATACAAAATATTTTAAAACAAAAACAAAGAATTGTTTAAAATACTCTTTCAGACAATGAATTTTGATTGTAGGCATCAAATAAAGACTGGCTTAAAATAGGAATGGGGAAGAGGAAAGGTTATAAAAAGTTGAACAATATTCTTTATCTGTTGCAGAAGTTTACTGGTTAAGTTGTCAATCACTATTTATCGTCACACATATTAATGTTATTAAACTTTTATCTTATTCTTGTAATTAAGCTTATGCTACTAAAAAACTAAACATTTCTGAAGTTATTCATTCATTCAACAAGAACCATAGTATAGTAGAAATGAAAAAGAAACTTAAGATCACAAATGATCTAAACATGAGAAAAGTGAATATCTTCTCACACTTTAAAGAGGTCAGCAAATTGCCTTTGTAACACAGCCTTTGAACTTTCACCAAACAAACACTGTTGTAATTGTTTTAACATCTTTGTGGTGGCTAAAGTGTAATTTTTAATAAATCAGTTACTGAAAAAAGCAAAAATGTTCTAAAAGTTACACCTACTTGATAACTGCAAAGCAGACAAATCCACGTATTGATTTTTATTAGTCAATTAGATCATAAATGACATTATAAATGTAAAAATTCAGAATAATTTCCCACCCTTTGAAGTGGATGGCAAATAGCAAATAGTAACTCAACTTTTGAATGAGATTCAAATGAGATTTACATAGCTGAAAAAAAAATAATATGTTGTATATATATTTTAATTATATATGCTACATATACTTTTTGGTATATTCACATTCCTAATGCAAATTTGATGTTTTTGTAATTCATCATATTCTCCACTATATGATAACCAGGTTAAGATACAGTATAGCTGCCAGCATTTACATCCAAATAGTGGACATCTCTAAATAGCAGACAAACTTCTCGGTCCAATGGTGTCTGCTATTTGAAGATTATACTTTATATGATATGACAACACATAAGCAACATGTTAATACATAGTAATGTAGTTAACATATCTTCATTTCATATCATATTTTGCATTGTAGTTAATGATATTCTAATTTAAAAGGCAATTTATTGTATAAAATCTTCATATCATATATAGAGGAATATTAAAGATAACAAGCAACTATTTATTGTGACATCATCAAAATGAACTTAAGTTTAGTGGTGTCTTGCTCCTTTATATTATACTTTTCCTGTTAGCAATAGAGTGCCATTTATCTATCTAACTTCATTCAAGGGAAAATTTTGAATCAAAGTAACATGACCTCTAATCCAAACAGGAAGTTTGTATATAGTTAATCTGGATTCCTGCCTCTAAGCTTTCCATATCTGATCTTGACTTTCATCTACATAACTCCTTTCTTAAGATTAAAAAAAGAAAGATAGACAGATTGTAAAACAAACAGATGACAGTCAGAGTTTATACGTCCACAATTTTTTCAAATCGCAGCCCAATAATTTTTCTATAAATGCAATATTTATGAGAACATACTTTCCACATAGTTTATACAATCTGTTGCAAAAATATAAATATTTTATTATCACATAAAAGCACTTATTCTTGCATTTTTACAAGATTTTTTTTATTTAAACAAGTTGTATGAAGTATTTCTGATGTTAAGGTTAGCAACTTCAATCACGTTTAGGGCTATCACAACCTACCCAACACAGATCACTTTTCAAATATTAATAGTGGACCAGTGTTAATTAGTATTTGTTGATCATCCTCTCTTCCAGGAGGAGGTCAATGACTATGTTTGGTCCAATTCAACTTCAACCCCTTCCACAACAGTTCCTTCTATCAGATCTACGGTACAGTGGCATTCAAATAGGAAAATTACATAATACAAGGTTATCAGCGAGCACAAAATATGTTTTAAGTAGTTTTTTAAAGTGCCAAGTTTAAATATTTGATCTGTTATTCATGAAATTTGATTCATTGGCAGATTACCATTTGATATTCAGCTGTAGATGCTACAGTTTCTTACAGCTAACATTAAAAAAAATATGATATCTTAAAAAATTTAAGATATCATATTTTCAATTGATGTCTACTTGACCAATAAAATTGGGCCATTTGTACCATCTGAATATTGCGATAAATGTGACAATGGTAGACTGAAATAACTCTTTGTATGGTTTTCATTTTAATGTTTGTTATATTATAGTATTTGATTTATATAACTACAAAGGTTATCTTACATATGGATTTATTGCACTAAGTAACTACAATCTAACACATTTTAAAAATTATTAAAATTGCATACAGTAGAGGAATAAAGAAATTTTAAACTGTGTTAAATTGGTCACTCAGTATGATAAACCCTTATGTACGATTACCTTTATGTACAATTAACTGTAGTTATATAAATCAAATACTATAATATAAAATAATAGAAGGGTTAGAAATATCACATAATCTAATAATTTTAATCTTTGTTGTTGTTATTTTTTGCCAGGGAAACATTGGGCCCATCTGCTAGTGTATATATATATATATATTAAAAGCAAAATGTTTCATTGCCACCACACATAAATAATATAAATTTAAAAATTAATTTGATTTACAATTTGAAAATTTCAAAACAACTTTTAAACAGTTTTTAAAAATGTTTTAATTTTCAATTGATTTGATTTTAATTAGTTTTGATTTCATTTTAAATCTTGATTTCAGTATAAAGGCCAGAGTTTTAATTATTACTTTTAAATTTAATTATTATTTTTAGTTTTAATTTATTTTTGTTTTAATTTAGTTTCAGTTTTTATAATTTATTTTTAATAATTATTTATTTAATTTTGCTTGCATTTTTTGAACCCTTAATTACAATATTTTTCATTAATTACAACTCGTTTTTCTTTTGTGACATAACTGTAGAAATTGTTTTAGTGTTGTTTTGCACAAAAGATAATCAAATTCAAATTTATTTTAATTTTTTAGTAATTTCATTCATTTTTGTTTTATAACTTTGCCTGCTTTTTAAANAAATTTTAATTTTAATAATGTTAACATTAATTAAACTGTCAGGCTACCTAATATCAATATCAAATAGAATGCTATTTCACTTTTGTTGATATCAGAAACATAGTCACAAGATATAGTGGACTCATCAGTGCACTTGCTGTTTGCAGTGACAATAAATGTAATCACCAGTGCCAACAAAGGAAGTCTAAGGTGTTCCTGTGCTGACCTACCCATATTATTATCATAAGTGCAGAGTGCAACTCATCAATTGCAGTGATTAATATATAGTATATGTGCACAAGTCTAACACAGTAATCACTATCCATTTTCAAATAAATAAAACCTTTTATGTGAGTTAAAGATTTAAAATAAAATAAAATTTTTATTCATTTGGAGACAAACAAGCCTGACATGTACATCTTGTTTATGCCTATGCAATAATATCCATTGGTTTTATGTTTTAACATCTTTTTATTGATTCTTTTTTAATTGAACTTCTAGGTATTCTTTCCTTTATTCCTCTTATCAAGAATAAAAATTTCAGGTTCTCATTCTCAATGTTATGTAAAGACTTATTAGATGTCTTTTCTACATTTTCTTCTTCAAAAATTCTAATTTTAATTTAAAACCAAAGAGAATACAATCCATTTTTCAGAAGGTGGCATTTCTGATGGATTGTTACTTTCTTCAGTTTCAAAGACTGACAATTTTCAGATTTTGTTCTTATACTTTTTATGTCATATTTTTAAAGCATCTTATACTATATTCTTATAGTTTAGTGATCATCCAATCATTATCCATTACTTTATTTAATTTTTTTTCAATCTAAATAGAAGGCTAAAATTTACCGTATTAATGAAGGAAAAGCTACTAGTTTTAACTTCATTAATGAGGTAATTCATAAAAAGATTGTAGCTTTACTACAATGTTTTTATTAATTAAGTGATATTCCTGACCAGAAATTCTCTATATCATGAGCCAAGAAAAATTTTTACATGGAACTAAGATTTAAAAAAAGTTTTTGGCTAGCATTTATAATCCTCCCATTTTCAAATTAGTGTTAAATCTGGCTTCTAATATACAAAGGTTTAATGAGTGGAAATAATTTTATAAAAATCAAAATTGGAAATAGAAAAAATAGGATCATGAAATACCTACTTTAAAGCTTATCTTCAATAATTTTCTTTGTGATAAATATTCAATAAAAATGTATTTTTTTTAAAAATAATCATATTGATATGATTATTTTAACTATAATAATATAAAAATAAATCAAATATTTTATTAAATAATAATATTTATTTAAAAAATAAAACTTACCTCTGATGCAAAAAATCTTGCATTAGCTGGTTCAAATCTCATTGCCATTGTTAATGTACTAAAAACAGTTCGAAGCAAAGATATAATCTGCTTCTTATCCACTAAAAATTACAAACATGATTTATATTATTTCTTACTATATAAAAAATACAAATTTACAATAAAAGAAACTTTAAAAAATTAACTTCATAATTTTTTAACTTTAAATTTTATTTTATTTTACAACAATTAATAAATCTTAAATTTTTTAAAATATGTAAACACACAAAACCTTCTGTACTAAAGATCACTAACTTAAACTGAGATAACTATTTTATCTATTTAGCATAAAAAGATATGCAAAATATTAAAAATTTTAAAAATATAAATACAGTGAAAACTGCTTAGGCGACCACCTGCATTCGAAGGGTACCTGCCGAAACGGGCAAAAATTTCTGGCACGGAATAGTTTATCCATAGAGTCTTTGTATAAGTTACCTGTATTAAACGACCACCTGCGTAACGCGACCGCGGGCATCGATTTTTGGTCCAAAACAACATACAACACCTGTAATAAGCGACCACTTTCGCGAATGTATCTGGTCTAAACTATTGTAAGAACCCATCTCAACAACGTTTCCAGTTCCTAATATAATGAATTAGTCTAAACTCTCGTTCGAACCCATCCCGGGCACTTCTCCCACCCTTGAAATTAGGTGCAGGTGTTAATAAATTAGTCTAGCAACAAAGGAAATTCATTTCAGTTTGTTGGAAAATGTCCGAAATGCAAAGTGCTGTCGTTAGAAGATCGTATTAAAGTTATCACAACAGCAATTAGCGGCGAAGTTTAACTGTGGGAAAACAAAATTTATTTTACCCTAGACCTACAGTATTTTCCTTGGGGGTGTAAAATATTGTACACGATACAATTAATCGGCTGATCTCATCGTTTGATAAAATCTATTTTTATTTATTTATTTTGAAGCTCATATACAGTACACGTGCGATAAATAGTTTCTGTATCAACCTACCTTATTTCCACGATATTTTTAGAAAAATAATATCCAAGTAATTTTCGCAGGCAAAATATTCAAAAAACAATAAACGCATTAATGCAAAAATCAGTTTTACTTCCTTTTTCGATTCCGCGATTGTAATGAAATCGTATAATGAGAAAAAATAATAAAATCGTTTTATTATTAATTAATAATTTTTCTTATTGTACTTAATTAATTAAGAAAATATTAAATATTAAAAAAAATACAGTATTTTTAAAGTTAAAATAAGATTAAACTAACGAAAACCAAAATCAAAGTGATGGAGAGATAGGACGCGCTTGTATATCGATGACGTAATACACGTAAATGAGGAGCGAACGAAAAGAACTAATTAAGTCAGTAAAAAGAAAGCGTGCATTATAATTGAGAAAATGCGAGTATTGTATTAATCTCTAAAATATTGGTATTAAATCTGTCTTATAATATCATGACGATTCCTGTAAATCGGGTTATCCGATAAGAATAAAATACAATACCAATATAGCCCTATCGTTGAAAAAATTCGCTTATTTTTGCTAGCCTCGAGTTTTGCTTAGTAGAAATGGCTAAAAAGTGTGCAAAATACGTATGGAAATATGGTATTACATCACCATCTGTATTGGACGACCACCTGCCTAAAAGATCACTTTTTGAAGGAACCGTGGGTGGTCGCCATAGACAGGTTTTACTGTATTTAAACAAATTTAGTCATAGGATAATTAATTAAGGATTTTTATGGTTTAATCAAACTCTTTTCTTAAGCAGCTATTTCTGTAATATTGGATCATTGTTAGGAGAGAAACAATTATTGTTTCTCCTAATAATGAGCTTGATTGTGTGAAAATACTTGAGACAGTGATACTTAAGTTAGTAAGTTCCACTAAAGCAGAGTGGTTCTGTATTAACATTACTTTATATACATATTTACTATCACTATTGTAAAAAATAAAGGATATTTAGTATTTATGCCAAAAATTCAAAACTACTTTTACAAATAATTTTATATTTGTTCTTATATACATTAACTAACTAAGCAATCTAGTATTTTACAACAAATAGGAGTAAGGGGGAACATTCATTTTCATTTATACTTCTCTATAAATTGTGATAGATAAGACTATAAAATAAGTAAAAATATCAAACACAATAATTGTGATAAAAATTTTTTATGTAGCTTTTATGTATCAAGTTCATTATGAAAAATACTATAGAAAACTTTTATATTTTTTTTTATAAAAATTTGGAATGAAATTTAAATTCCTACATAAATATATTCAAAAAATTAGTTTTTAATTAAAGGATGCTAAAATTAAATTTTAATATGTTCAAATTAAATTCTAAATTATCATACTTTGGTTTTTATTTGTTTGAAAACATTACTGATATGCCAAATTATTTTTTAAGTACTAAATATGCAATATCACATTAAAAATATTCTAAAAATTCAACATTAATTCTTTTACAGTTTAAATATATTTTTAATAATAGGCAAATATATTTTTTAATATTAAAAAAAACTTCAAATTTTTATTTTAAAAATTCAAATATCTGATTTTATCATCTATATTAGCATCATTGATCATTAACATAAAATAATGTTAATATAATAAATATAAGTATGACTTTTTCACAAAAAAATTTTGTTTCAGTCATTTCTTTCAACATAACAAAATTTTTTTGTGAAAAAGTCGTACTTATATTTATTATATTATTATTAAATAATCTTTTGATTCTGATGAAACCGTGTTGTTGTTATTAAGCTGTTTCTTTGCAGATACACTAAGGTGACATATATCAACACTTGGCAACTTACTGACTATTTATTCAGTTGGGACGCCTTTTACATTACGCGTTTCGGGCATTGGCCCCTCTTCAGCCAACTAGACATAAAAAATAAAACATAAGAAAATTTGTACAAAAATACGCGAGTAGATAAACTGTTTTTTTAAAAAAATTTTTTAAAAACATACCATAAAACACAAACCACTATTGTACAGATGTCGAACAGGATGGACAATTTCATATTTCATATACAACTTGGANGAATTTCGGTGTAATATGCGAATATCAACCACAGGTAAAAACAAATATTGTTAAGATATGTTGTAATTGTCAATCTATTTATTTGAATTTTGTGTAAATTATAAGAAAGCCATATTTAAAAGCCCAGTAGTCAAGCTGCTATCTACGACCCTGTTTGTTCTCCAATGATTATCGTCGACCTTGTTTGTTATCCAAGTTGTATATGAAATATGAAATTGTCCATCCTGTTCGACATCTGTACAATAGTGGTTTGTGTTTTATGGTATGTTTTTAAAAAATTTTTTTAAAAAAACAGTTTATCTACTCGCGTATTTTTGTACAAATTTTCTTATGTTTTATTTTTTATGTCTAGTTGGCTGAAGAGGGGCCAATGCCCGAAACGCGTAATGTAAAAGGCGTCCCAACTGAATAAATAGTCAATAAGTTGCCAAGTGTTGATATATGTCACCTTAGTGTATCTGCAAAGAAACATATTAAATAATCGTTGGCCATGTAAAACTTATTATTTTTACATAAAATAATGTATTAACAGTCATAAAAATATTATTAATATTTTAGCTCTTTTCACACTGTGCACACTAACAACAACTTTTATTACCCATTATGAGTTCAACTAGGTCTTCAATGGGGAAAGTCAGATAAGGAACACAACCTAACATATCTAGGACAAACCAACCATTAAAAACTCATAATGATCCTAACATGGTCCCTAAGATTGGCAAGATGATGCTTTTACTGCCTTGGCCATCCAGCCATCAAAATAATAATAACAAGATTTATTTTAATTTAAAAATATAAATTTTGATTTATTCTAGTCTTAAATTAATTTTACCTGAATTCCAAGGAGGTTTAGCTGGATTAGATAAACATCCTTCCATTGATACTAAAACTGACATGATGTATACAAATCCTCCAACTTTACGAAAAACAGTTCTTGTGCGATGACTTTCTCTTAATACATATAACAATGACTAGAAAAAGTTTTAATTTTTAAACAGTAGTTTTTTAATGAAAATCATTATATACATGAGGGGTGCAAAAGTAGGTATACAGTTGTGATTATGGAAAAAACATACAGGGAGAAAATAGGAAGAAAAAACATTTATGTACAAATTAAATCACAAATAAGGAATACAAACTAATAAAAGATAATAAAAATAATAATAATGAACACCAAACATTTGTATTTCTCAGATTCTAAACTGTATACCTACTTTTGCACCCCCCCTGTATATATAAATTTTTATTTATCATAAGTAATAACTATTTATTTGTAATAAAAAATTCTAATGGTTTGTAATAAAATGTAAATGAACATACTTCCTATGTTTTTATAACATTAATTTAACACAAACATATATACAGTTCTTTTTAAAATGCTTAAACAATCTAGAAAAAATTTCATGAATAACTTAGAAAACATTTATATATTCCTTATTTTTCAACACTTGCTGAGACATTTATCCAATTAAGCAATCAAGTCTTCTATTCCTTTGCAAAAGAAATGTCAGTTTTGAGATTTCAGTCACTGGTAGATCTTGTGTTCAACGTTCCCTTCTATCTGAAACTGTCTCACTGGAATCATCTGGTGACAGCAGATATACTGCTTTGAGTTTGGCAAGAAACTTAATTCAGATGAATGTCTACTATATCATAAATCAACTAAAATGACTGTTTGAGGTAAAACATGTCATATTTTGCTATAAATGCTTAACCAATTCTGTGAGTTCTGATTAAAACTGTATCTGCTTTAAAGTTATAAACTCCTTTTTGAATCATTCTGTGCATATTTAATGTTGAATGATGCATCCCTAAGCTAATATTTCAGTATCTGAATGTTTTCATTTGCAAAAGTATCTCCATTTATATTTGGATAATTTTCAGCAAATTCAATTTCAATTTCCACATCATCTAATATAAAGCATTTTTCTAATAATATTTAATCACCTTCATTAATGATGACTTTTTTCTCTGACTTTTCTCTATAATCTTACTACTGTTCAGAGTTTATGTTGCCTATTCTCAATGATACTATTAATATTTCTCTGCAAGCATTCATTAAAATATTTTCTTTGTATTGCTTTCATCTGTTTATTTAAATAAATTGTTTATTTAGAATTATTTTTACTATATTTGACAAATTCTAATCATTCATCCCTGAAAAAACTTTCTTCACACAATCTTCATTCAAAAACATTTCTGAGTAATTCTCCACTTCATCTTAACTTCTTCTACTTTAGTCATAGCTTCAAAAATTTTTATTCTTCATTTCTTTCAACACCAATTTTCCACTTGTTTACAATCAGCTACTAAATCTCAATACAATATTAATTTTCTACACATATGGAGCCTATATGAAGCCCAAGATTCAAAAAATTCAAAAATATGTATATTTTATTTTTGAAGATAGTCTAATGCTCAGTTTTAAAAGATGTTTAAAATTTGATATTCTCTATATATTCTCCAAAAATTTTTTATAATTTTCATGAAATTTTCTTCTATGTTTACTCTCTGTTTTGTTAAACATTTACTATAATTTAGCAATATGTTTAATGAAACTTTCTATACCATCTTCAAATTAAACCTAACTATTATTTAACTCCAAAAACTAAAAATATACAAATTAAGTATCATGACGCCTACCATTTTCCTTAAATTTTGTTTCTCTTCATTTTGAACTAATAATGTAATCTCTTTATGGAAATTTATCACTTAAAGAAATTATAATGCATTTATAATTTCAAATAAAAATGTATTATATATATATATTTTTTATTATGTTTTTTTGTTTATTGAACAATTGAACAATTGTTAGCTACTGGACAAGATGTTCTTTGCACCCACACAGCTATGACATGTAAATGTGACATCATAGTTGTTTACTAAAGGAATACTGTTGTAATGAAACTTTGCCTATTTTCCTGATTGTAGGGACCCTCCCTTCTAAATTTTTAACAGTACAAATTAAAAATAATCAAGGGAAACAAATTAGAATAAAAAATTATCAGTTTCTCACAACATTTAGAGGAAAAGACAAATGGAATAACCATCATTTCCCCCTTTTCAACTAGTGTCAAGTAACAGTTGTTACCTTATTCACATCATGTAAATACATATAATTCATCCTAAACAAGAGAAAAGGAAACTTAAAATGACAAATCAAGTTTATCTCCAATTACATCATCTTCCTCTGAAATAAAATCATCATTTGTTAGAAAAAGAAATAAAACAAAAAGGTATGACACATATATTGTGAGCCACAAAATGTTATCCTCTTATGTAACTAAATAAGCTAAGTTTCAAGGATAGGTTTTGTTTTATCCAAATATTGGTATAATGTCATGTTTTGTTTTTTTCAATAAATTTTCCTTGTTTATTTCCACATTAATGTAGTTGATTTTACATTCATCCTCCTGAGTGGATCATTCCTGAACATCAAAGTGACTCTTACCCTCATGCCTTATGTATTTCAATTTTATCTATAATCCAAATCAGAGAGCTGTGTCTGATAATATACATCTGTTGGCAGAACTCCTACTCAAAACAGACAGATCTCAATTTTAATAGCATCAACAGTATTGATTATTATTTTACCAATTTAACTAAAATAAAATAACAATTTTATAAAAATGAAAAAAATCTTTCCAGATTAATATAAAATATAGCAAAAATTAGTTATTATAACACCTTTCAAAAATAACACATTATAAAACCTTTTANATGAAATCTTTCATTCTTTAATCAAATGACTAAAAAATTATTTTTGTAATAATAATTCTTAATAATATTAAATAAATTAAATAGTTACATCAAAGTTGTATTCCAAAATCTCAAAATCAAACTTTCAGTTGTCTATTAAAATTTGTAATTATACAGTTTCTTTGAAAATTAGTTATATATTGTATGTATATATGTATAATAGCATATTAAAGTCAAATAGTTGCCAGATCAGGTTATCTAATCTGGCAACTATTTGACTTTAATGTAACTATTAGGCTTATGTATGTTTATATTTGTATATAGTAATATACAAAACCCAAAACATTAGAAGTAAACAATTTAAAAGATTTTTATTGGGCTACATTAAAGTTAATTAATAATTTGAAACAGAGCAATTTCATTATAGGCTGCCATCTCAAGATAAATTTATTAATTAAAAGTAAATTAGTTTCTAGTTTTAATTTATAATACTCTGGAAGAAAAGAGGTGGCGTGGTGTAGGACTCAAAGCAAGAATTCCTGCTTACCATGCAGATGTATTGCCTCTGTCCAATCTTCAGAGAGCTATTAATTAATTACAATTTAGTCTTGGTAATCCGGTCATTTGCTAGTTTGAGATATTCAAGTAATCTGAGTTGTCAGATTACTTGAACTCAGTCAACTCAGTTATTATCAGCACTGTTGTCAAGCTATAGACAAGCTTCCCATTAGTTAAAACTCTACTTTCCACTAAATTGGAACACTTTTCTACTAAATGTAGCAAGATATTTAGCCCAAGTTTGAACACTTGAGATTAGTCAAAATATTGAAGATTGTAGATTCATCATCTTAGACTACTCAAAAAAGTATGGTATCTTATACATAATACTATATAAATATAAAATCAGTCCCCTGAAATTTCCCACCAAAAATATTGTACACTAAATTTCCCACAGTCATTTCAATTTTACATTAAATTTAGTGGCAACATTGATGGCAGCAAACTCATGTTTTAATCAGATTCCAACTTGTGTTTTCAGGCATCATTAATAGTTGACTCCATACCATTAAATTCATTTGTGACATTTACCTTACTTCTAATAATTTGACAATCTTCTTAATCTGACACTATTCTGGTCATATGTATGTCAGAATACTGAGATTGTAATGTAATTAATTTAGATATAATCATACCAGTCACTCATGTACCAAATTGGAACAACCAACCTAGTGTCCATGGCCCTCCAGCATGGCTCTCGGACAACTTATGTATTAATCCTGGCAACGTGTTTGTGTGTGTTAATGTGTGCGTGTGTGTGTGTGTGTATGTGTGTTAACCACCTCTATGAGTTCTATGAGTGACCAGTATGGTTATATTTAAATTAATTAATTAAGAGCTCTGGATGTGAAAATTGGATGGAAATGCATGAAGCATACTGGCAACATATCTGCATGATAAGCAGGAGTTGCATGCTTGAGTCCCACTCCATGCTAATCCTTTTCTTTCAGAGTATTCTAAATTAAAATTAAAACTTTATTTATTTTTAATTATTAAATTTATTATGAGATGGCAGCTTAACCACCTACCTCTAGCCAAAGTGTTTTGTTTCAGATTATTAATTAGCTTTAATATAATCAGATAAAAATTTGGGTGATTGTTTGGTATATGTATATATAATTTAATGCAATTAAAATATGTGTATAAATTGCAAACAGAAATGTCAATACGAAATACCTTGAGTATGTGAGTTTTGAGATCCAAAGCTAAAACAGGAGCTGTATGCATTAAACCTAACAATGTTCCCATATCGTCATCTCCACCATTACTCAATACTAATTGCTGTACAATTCCAAGAGCTGGTTGTCTACAAACATGATAAGGAACAAGATTGTGGGAACAACGTGCACCACCACATTCTCTGAAGACACCTAATAAGAAAATAAATAGATCATAAAATTTTAAAAACTGATAAATCTGAAAATGAAAAATTAAATAATTTTAAAATTTAAATAAATTTGAATTTAATAATAATCATTTAATTTAAAATCAAAATTATAATATGCATTTATATCTTGAGAAAAATTTTTAATTAATAAAAGTGTATCTTCTTTATTAATATAATGCTAAAAGTTAGATTACAAAGTCTAAAATTTGGTTTAATAGTCACAAAATGTTTATATATATTTTAAAATGTGCTTGAGATTTACAGAAATGATACAAATAACAATGAAAAATCTACACACATTATTCAATGATAAATTATTATTATTATTGCAAAACAAGCTACATAAATATGAAAATAAACTTTGAAAAATTCATCAACTTACTAGCATTTTTTGAATTTCCATTTAGAAGAGCAGTTAATGCCTCCATCACAAGAAAACCAAGTGTTTGTTGCTCTTCTGCAATTGCTATATTACCTAAGATTGCATAATAAAAAATCTCATTTTACATTTTTATGATATAATTTTGATTAATCCAGTGAAATACACAAACAATTAATCATGCAAAACTTTGGATAAAGAATTTTTAAGTCATTAGTTTTTAATTATATTATTAGTTCTCTAATTTTATGTACAATGTGCAATTATTAATCACCACAATGCCTGGCTACAATTTTTAATTTGAAATATATGCTCTCCACCTGAAATTTGTAGCATCTTTTCCCCTGTACATCATACTTTACCTGCTAGCAACAAAATCATGCCATGCTAACTCCTTTCAGGGGAAAATTTTTGAACTGAAATAATGTGACTTCTAGTGCAAACTGAAAGTTCATGTACTGGGCCTCCTGCCCCTAAGCTTTCCAAATCTGGTCTCAATTTTCACCTAACTCCATCCTTGAGATTAAAGAAAGACAGACAGACAAATAAAAACAACAGTGGGAATTTATAGGTCTACAGCTTATTCAAATTGCAGCCCAACAAAATGTTTATTCTGTGTTATGTCAAAATATTACATGGCAAGAAACAGAAATAAGAAATTAATATATTAGATATGCTAATGAAATTACCAGCAAGCTGATATATATTTATATTTTTAGATTCAAATTTTGAAGTTTAGAATAATTGAGGAAACATAAGATTGATCAAACAAGTAAATTTAAGAAATGTAATTCTCTTAAGGAAATGAAGAGTGGTTGAGAATGATTGAATGCTGTCAACCACCTCATTTTCAAACATATTATACACATAATTGGTGCAATGCCATAATAAATGCCAAAAAACCCAAACTTTTCAGGAGAAGTGAAAAAAAAAAAAAAAACACTTTTTCTAGTAAATGAATTCATTTCAATTTTACAATAAATTGGTAAAGAACTCACTATGTCACAAATTCTTCAGAATATCAAAATGATGTAAATATAAGCCATAACGTGACTTGCACTTTGGTGCTTTAAATGTTGCAGCTTCACATAAATTTAACTTCAACAAACAGCCATTTACAGTGCCACTATCAAAACAATATTTTTTGCAGCAGAAAACATTGAATTTAGAATTCAATTCTTCAATAAAATATATTTAAAGAATAATGGTATTTATGTTGTGGTTTTGCACACTTCAATTATAGTGAGTTCTTGACCTATACAATTATCTTGTATTTAGTTTTCATCTTTATAATTAAAATGGAGTTCATAATTAATTTTGTATATGTCCTGCATGCAAAAAAGTTTGGTTATATATATATATATAACCAAAATGATTTTAAAACATGAAAAATATATATATATTTCATGTTTTAAAATCATCAATTTGCTCTCTCTTACAAAAGAATGCATGTATGATTATCATTCAGCTATTAAGAATTTGGCAAGTCTACATACAAAGACTGCTGTAATCGTATTTATGGATTCCTTCAACTCTTCAAATATCTATATTTATCTAATGAAAATCCTAACAAAAATTCTGAAGAGAAATAAGTTGATGATTCTGTAATCTTTTAGAGAACACATTTTTCAGAAAATGTAATCAATATAAATTTCTCAATGATTCAGTATAAAAATAATTAAATCATCAATATTCATTTTTATTGTTATTACCTGGTTGTTCTCCTGTTCCTTCAGGATAAGCTTCTTTTAATAAAGCAGCATATCGATGTAAACAAGTTACTAATACTTCTAAAAGACCAACTTCTCTATAAACATCTTTAAAAACTGCATTATAATGCAATATATTTAAAAGAGTACGCAAACATATTATACTGCAAGAGATTGAACTGGAAAAAAAAAGAAAAACATTTTATGTAAAAATATTACAAAGATTTATTTTACGATTATTAGTTTAAAAAATAATAAAGTGAAATATATAAATAAATTAAATATGTTTTCATGTTAGTAGGAAATTATATTAAAATTACTATATTGAATAAATGTAAAATGTTTTAATGCAAAAATAAAATTATTTTTTCAAGTTTCTAATTAAGATATCTTTATTGTAAATAAAAATCATTTGTTGTAATTAATGGAGCTAATTTTGATTAACCAAAGAAATTTTTACTTTTAATTTTTTCTTATATTTATGTAATTATTTAATTTGAATAAATTTATTTAAAAATAATTAAGGAATTTCTTTGGAGGTTTTTATAGATAGATTGATTCATTAATTTAAAATTCACAACAGTGTAAAATACAGTTATTAGATAATATCATATGACAATTATCTAGCATCTATATATTTAAGTATAAAGTTTGATAACTGATAAAATACACTGAACAATCTAGTGTCAAAATTCAAGATCAGATACTATTAATATATTCCAAACCTTACAGGAATCTTTTAAATAAACAATGAGAAAAGTCATTTACTACACAGAAGAAATAAATTAAATCATTAATTTAAGTCCAATTCCTCATAATCTTGATTAATTTTTCTGTTTCTTTTTCTTAGTAAACTTAAAATGTATAATTTTAAATTTATTTTATATCTAAATATTTTAATTAGTTAAAATAATTATTATAAAAACTTACAAAATATAGCACTGTTTAAAATATTGAAAGAAAAGAGTTTAACCCTTCACATTAATGGCCAGTTTGAATTATGTAATAATATTTACTTTCCATTATTAATCTGATTTTTTTCATTTTCAATAAATTGATTTTAGTATTTCTATTTGCTATTTGATCTATAATCATTAAAAACTGTCAGAGTTCCAACAATTTTTACTAAGATGAAAAGGGTTCTGCAATAAAAATAAGTTGGAAACTGATGTTCTAGATTAACTGCTTCCATATTGCAATATTGTGTTTTTAACATTACATGTGGTAAGTTATTAACCATAAAAATTGCTTCATCTATGATCTTTCAGTGGTACCCAACTTTCTAATTAGTGGACCAAATTACTTGGAAGATAAAATATTTTCAGTCTGCATTCACAGATCCATTTATAAAATATAGTTTGCTGATATCTTTAGTAGATATGCAGCTCCAAACCATTTTACTCAACAAAAACCTTACTGTCTTTCTTTAAGTAATCCCTTGCTTTTTCTATGCTTAACATAGTTTGCATTAAAAGTTTGCTGTAATGAATCCAAATTTAATCTGCATTAGATTCATGCAGATTAAATTTGGAATCATCTGATAACATAACATTATTCCACACATTAATGAATGCTTCAGTCCACATGATATTCACCATAATATCTATGGTGAACATCATGTAGACTACACCATTAATGTGTGGAATAATGTTGTTATCAGATAAAACACTGTCTGTGCATTTTACCCATCAGTAACAGCTTCTCATAAAAAGTAGGTTTCTAAACCCATATTGCAAAAGTGACATCACACAATTTATGCATTTGCTTTTATGCCTGTCTGCTCTTTCCACTTTACTTTCAATTTAGAATTAGCATTATCTTTTTTCAGGCTGAGATGCTTTAGCATCCTATCCTAGCATGGTATACTCATATACTTCCTGACCCAGCTTCAATGTTGCTATGTTCAAATTTCTTTTGTAACAAACACAATTGTTGATTGATGACACAGCACTCTCAGTGCTTTTTCATGAAAGGATAAATCTTCAGCATTCAGAGCAACATTACAGACTTCTTATGTAGTGTTAATTGTAGAAAATTTTTCATTTTGCTTATAAAATTGCACTGTCTTGACACGAGTTTTTATACCAATGAATAGTGCAACATTGCTAAAGTAGACTTTGTCAGCAAGTAAAAAGCATTCTCATATTTATGATTTCGTGGTTGATGCAATCTTTGTGAATTCTTAAAAGTCTGCAGCAAAATGATACTTTAATTTAAAAAATAAACATAAAATGATTTTAAAACATGAAAAATATATATATATTTCATGTTTTAAAATCATCAATTTGCTCTCTCTTACAAAAGAATGCATGTATGATTATCATTCAGCTATTAAGAATTTGGCAAGTCTACATACAAAGACTGCTGTAATCGTATTTATGGATTCCTTCAACTCTTCAAATATCTATATTTATCTAATGAAAATCCTAACAAAAATTCTGAAGAGAAATAAGTTGATGATTCTGTAATCTTTTAGAGAACACATTTTTCAGAAAATGTAATCAATATAAATTTCTCAATGATTCAGTATAAAAATAATTAAATCATCAATATTCATTTTTATTGTTATTACCTGGTTGTTCTCCTGTTCCTTCAGGATAAGCTTCTTTTAATAAAGCAGCATATCGATGTAAACAAGTTACTAATACTTCTAAAAGACCAACTTCTCTATAAACATCTTTAAAAACTGCATTATAATGCAATATATTTAAAAGAGTANCTCCAATCGGCAAGACTGTTAGTGAATTTTTTCTCCACCTTATCAAAGTTATTTTTCAATAATTTATCTTAAGAATATATTTATTTCTGTGAGTCGTAATGATTAGTTATAAACTAATCCTTATGTTACTATTAATATCTAGCATTGAATCTAACCCAGGACCTCTACAGAAAACACCTACAAAAAAAGGCAGACCACCTATCAACCATTCAAATCAATTGTCTAGCGGTATAAAACCATCTGGATTGGAAACAAATCTTATAATCAATTATACAAAAACAAGAAAAACGGTTTCTTCAACTGCTTCAGGTGAGAACTCTAATATTAGTAATTTAACAGAATCTATTAATCCTGAAACATCCGACATCTGAACTGCAGAGTTAATAATAATAAATTAATTATATATGATTTTACAAATACTATGATAGACAAGAATCATAAAGAACTTCTGGATTTCCCTGCATTTGTTTAAAAATGCCATGTATTAATAAAGAAGATATAAAATATCAATATCAAATGTGTAACTTTAAAATCAGAACAAATCTATATATATATAAAAATGAATGTATGTCTGTGTGTCTGTCTGTCCTTCATGCATTACCACACCGTTTATCTGATTGCCGTGAAACTTTTGGAAGTTGTTTAATATACTCTGGCGAAGGTTTGTGGCATAGTACAATTGCCATGAAACTTTGGAAAGTTTTTTTAATTTTTTAATACACTCCCGCAAAGTACATTTATCCTACAATAGATGGCGCGCATTTACACGAGCATTCGCGCACAGTGTGTTCGATCAATTTCAAATTGTGAAGACCATTTCCCCCCTTCAAAAAATATCTCTATATATGCATTTGTGAACTGTTATTTACGATATTTATAATAATTTTTGTTTAATCACTTTATTTCAACTTTTTTTTGCTAATTATGTATTTGCTCAAGCTTCGTTAAAACCTTAACTGTACCCCAAACAACAACCGAAGTTGTAGGAAGAAATTCGTGTATTTTACCGATCTAGGTATCCCCCTTTTCCAAAGTTTAATATCGACTCAAAATAATTTAAAAAGACAAATTACAATAAAACGGTTTATTATCCAACTATCGGAAATTTCACAACACGCCAAAGAAGAGAGGAAGGAGCAATTAAATAAAGAAAATTATAAAGGATTTTAAAAAATATATAAAAATGAGGAATATCGCACTTCTGACAATCACTGCGAGTGTGTGGGTTAAATTTGGAGAATCCGTGCTTCTCGCATGGACAACTGTATGTGGCCAGCTCACGCGTCGGAAAACCTTCTGATTTATTCGTGTACACACCAGACGGAAAAAAAAATATCGTGTATCCACAAGCACTCCAATAAATAAATAGAATTGAAACGACTTGTTTTCCCGATGAAAATGAATAATATAATAAGTTTCAATAAAAATGATAAAATGAAAATTTAATTTTATCATAACGAGTTTGCTTGAATTTCCTTTCTTCTGAGATTGCAGCAATGCGCGACGGGTAAGCTAGTATGTAATAATATACTGATGAACTATAATAGGTTAAAATAAAATAAATTACTAGGAGAATGGCAGAACATTAATCTGGCTACAGATTTGGTTAAGGATTCATGCTTAAGAAGGAAAATGCTTCTACCACATTATATTGATCTAAGAAAACATGGATTTCAAATTAAATTAAAAGATGATTTTTTTTATCTTAAATTACTTATAGTTTAATACATCATTTGGTTTTTGCCAAAGATTTTTTAGAATATATTCCTTCAGAAAACTTAATAAATCAAACATCCCAACTAATATAAACGAAGAGAATGATAAGAGAAAAAGGCAACAAAATAACTTATTACAAATAATTAATTGAAACTGCCAAGGGCTAATCAGAAAAATCAATAGTAACAATTTTACTTATTTATTAAATAATAATCATGTTATAGGTCTTACGGAAACATAGATTACTTCTCCAATTACTAATTTATTTAAAAACAATGATCGATTTAATATTATTTCGACATTAGCTAAAAAACCTGATGGACCAGGTTGTCCACATGGAGGTTTATGTTTGATTTAAAAAAATATTGGTGACATTAAATTTCATCAAAAAACTGATAATTACATAATGATTATGCTGCAAGTTACCAACTCAACTATAACATTGTTATTCAAAAAGTTATAACAATTTTATTGATTTACATACCTCTGGAACAAATAGAAACTATGAATAAAATATTTGATCAATATAAAAAATTGAAATATATATCTGCATATGTTATAATTATAGGCAATATGAATGCCAGAATTGCTCAACAAATGGATACGTTATACAATGGTCCCAATACATTAATCCACAATATTCGAGAATTCAAAGATAAAAAATATAATAAACTAGGAATGCAACTGCTAAACTATACTAACCAATTACAACTATATACAATGAATGGAAGATTAAGATTCAACTGCCCTTCAGAATTTACATGCACAAACTACAATGGATGCTTGGTAATAGATTTGACTATTTGTTCAGCTTTAATGTCAGACTTGTGTATGGCTGTAAAAATTTTGAATTGTGATATATCTATATAACTGACCATTTTCCAATATGTACCTCTTTTGAAGTGTCAACTATATCTACTTTTGAAAAAGAATTTATATCTCACCAAACAATTTATTATAATTATCAAGCATATCTTTCACAAATTAGTGAACTTATCAAAATTACATCAAATAACAGACTAATCAATGATAATGGAAAATACCTACAATTAATAAATATAATTAAACAATTTATAAAAATTTAAAATACTAAAGGACTGCAAATTTCTACATTTAAAAAACCCTGGTACGACTTGCAATGCTATACTGTGAAAAGAAAGAAAAATAAAACTTTACATCAATTTAGGCAAAATTATTCAAATGAATTATTTATGAACTATAAAAAAATTAAAAACAATATATTTTAATTTATTAAAATCAAAAAAATTTAATTACTTTAAAAATTTGCAACACCAACTGATTACTACAAAAAATACAGACTTCTTCTGGACAACAATACAGAAACTAAGTAAGAAAAAATTAGACCATCAAATCAACATAGAAACATCAGCCTGAAAACAATATTTTAATAGATTTTCAAATATTGACAATCCACCAAACCTAAAAACTCCTACTTTGAATAATAGTCTGCTCGATTTACCGTTTACCTATGACAAACTTGAGGATTCAATTCAAAAAATGAAATTAAAATCAGCTCCTGGTGTTGACTTGATAACTTCCAAATTTGTCAAATTTTTATCTCCTTCAGGCAAACAACTATTACTCAACTCATTCAATTACTTTTATGAAACATTAAAATATCCAGAAATTTGGAATACTGTTAAATTAGTCATGATCTATAAAAAAGGACTTCATACAGAACCTGGCAACTATCATCCGATTGCTTTACTACTGGTATTAAGGAAATGCTTTACATCTATTTTAGCTAACCATTTTTAAGATGGACTCATGAAATTAATCTTAACTCTGAATTTCAATATACCTTTATTAAATCCAGGGATACAGAATTTGCTATCTTCTTATTATCTTCAATTATTCAAATATATTTACAGAAAAAAGTAGGAAAATATGTGCTGCCTTCATCAATATCACCAAAGCCTTTGATTCTGTTCATGTTCCGACATTGGTAAATAAATTAAAACAAAATGGTGCAGGTAATAGATTTTCAGATTCAATATAAACCTTTTTTCTTCTTATAAACTTCATATTGTTAATGGCAACTTAATTAATCCCGAAATTATTACAAATCGAGGAATACTTCATGATGAACCTCTTTCTCTGAATCTTTTTAATTTCTACATAAATGGCATAAATAATTTATTTGATAAGGATAATGAAGGAATATACATTAATGGGCCTTGTTTCAACTATATTTTATATGCAGATGATTTAGTATTATTAGCACCAACTCATATAACTTTACAGCATAAAATTGATACAATAAATAAATACTTATCACCATTATATTTATCAATCAACGCTTCAAAAACAAAAATAATTATTTTTAGAAAAAATATTAAACTATCTGATCAAGAAAAAGACCTATATTTAGATGGCAGACTTCTTGAAACTGTTAACAATATAAAATACCTGGGTATTACTTTTAGCTGGAATGGTTTATTTCAACAGCATTTAAACATCCTTACTATAAAAATCAATTCACTTATCGATAATACTATATATTTATGTTCAGTATTAAAGATTTCTGATTTAAAACTCCAAATTAAATTTTTTAATGCTATAATTCTTCCTTCAATATTTTATGCCAGCCTGATCTGGGCTCTTGATCATTTTTATAAACTTGAAAAATTTCATATTACCTACTTACGTAAATTATTCAGGTTTTGAGAGGACAGTACCAGGTTATTCTATTAGAGCAGAAACAAACAGAATTCAACTATTTCCTTGGTTTTTAAAGAGACTAATAAGAATTTACTACCGACTTATAAATACAGACGATAAGAATATAAAATTTTTACACCAAAATATGTATCAAACTAGTATCTTAAATTCTACTAATCATACTTGGCAATATAAATTTAATAATATACTTCAAACATATCAAATTTCAAGTGCGTTATTCGATAGATCTGATACAGATTGGAAAAATGGTTATACACTAATGATGGAATCGGCTATATCACAATCTATAATTCAAGATCAAAATTCAATATTGAAATCAACTTATCATCCCTGGTACCTCGAGATTTTAAAAATACCTTCCAATTCCTGTTTTATTATAGCCAATATGAACATTAAACGACTATTCTTACAACTCCGTCTTAATAAATATTCTTTATTAGTTAATAATACTTACATAGATTTTACCAATCAAATTTAATATTGGTGTAAGTCAAATAACTTTTCTGTGTCTTATCTACTGAAACTGTACAGCTATAAAAAATTTCATCAAAAATATCAAATAATAGAAATTCTTGGTATGAACTATGATTCAAAATATACCTCAAGAATAACAAATCTATCAAAAACTAATATGTACAAACTAAACAACTTCTTTACTCAAATTACCAATATGTTTAATAATGATGACATTAATTAATATCCAGTTAACAACATTCGACAATAATTTCATTTGTATACTTATTGTAGAGTTGTTTTATTGTTTTTTTTTTCTTAAGATTTAATTGTTATAATTGGTAATAACATATGTTGTAATTCAATTTATAAATTCATTATGTTTGTTATAAAAATAATCCCCCCTGTAACAAGGTTTTTTCCTTAGTACAATAAAATATTTATTTGAAAAAAAAACTATATTTTTAAACATTGAAAAATATTTTTATTTCTTTCAATCATTATTAATTTTGGATTTATGTTTAACATTCTTTATAATTATAGCTGATTAAAAAGATCAGTTATAAATTCTAATAAATAAAAGCAAATTTCCAATAATTATCATAATTTCATATTTCATAATAAAAAAGATATTAAAAATTTTTTACCTTTGCGTCTTTAATAAAATACTTAAAGTTATTAGTTCTTTGCACGGTACAAATTTTAAATCAAATACAATAAATTCAAGTAATTTGAAAAATTTTTCCTGTAAATAAAAACTATAATTAGTCAAATGTAAACTATTTAAGACTTTAAGTTATATTATAGTCATAAATAAATTTAAAATATGACACACCGTTATTTAATTGCTTGTTATGACTTTATATCTTACAACTATATTTTTCATTTTTTTCTAATTTTTATTATAAATTGTTTATTTTAATCTANAATTTTTGAAATTATTTGAATATTTCCATTATCAAAAAATTTGTGTATATTTTTCACAAAATTTATTTAGAATTTTTAGCCACAGATATAATTTTTCAGATAAAATTTGTGTTCAAAAGCACTATGAAAACATGCCATGATGAATTGTATTTTTCATTAAAAATCATCATTGAACTAAATTATTTTTCAGGATGGCTTTTGTGAGGATCTAGATTTAGAAGGAAAGTCATTTTGGGAGAAATAAACAAGGAGAGAAAAAGATTTATAAATTAATAGAAAATAATATTTTAAACTTCAACGAATTTTACAAAAACGGATGTCAAAAAGAACTTTCGATTTTAGAAAGGAAGTTGATTTCCTTTCCACAGCCGACTCATGAGATGAGTCGAGCTTTTGCACATGCTACTTGGCTGTCAGAGAGGGCCGATATAAAAGGGACATTTTCCCGCCATTTAGGGCAGTCCGTCGAAGGAGGTATTGCCACACGAATTCTGTAAAGTCATTGAAAGAACTACCATACGATATAGGGCAGTCCATAGAAAGAGATATTGCCACACTAAGAAAGTCCATCATACAAGTCTGTCATATGAATTCGTTAATTGAAAGTCCTCTTCCTTGTCGTATACTTCATATAGAGCCCTCCATATGAAGTATACAACAAGATTGTCATAAGAGAAGTTATCCTTAAAGGAAAGTGCCATAGAAGATATAAGAAGAAGAATAGTATTGATGATAGAAGATTATCATAAAATGAAAGATTGAAAGAACTGAGAAGGTAATATGATAATTGTTAGATCTATGTAAACTCTCTCTCTCGACAGGTTTAAAATAAGATTAGGTTAAGTTAGTTATTTAGATTTAAGTTTAAGGACAATTTGTTATTCAGTCGTTTGTGTATTTTATATTTTTTGATTTATTAAATGTTTTGGTTTACTTTATAAATTTGGTTTGGTTAATGTTAGCTATTCATACTCACTCCTATTCAAGTTACCTACATTCCTCATACTCACAAATTAGAGATAACGCATGTTAATCCACGTGTAAAATAACAGATTAACTGGTGTCAAGGTCCTGACGTGATCTAGATCTTACCATCTAGATCTTTTTAACATATTAGTTAAAGCCCTCCTAAAAGAATAAGTGAGCCAATCTAACAATTGTGTGTCAGTAAGTGACATAAGAAAATCTTATGCCCCTGACTTCTCACACTTTCTTATTACATATTTTTGAAAATTTTTGGAGATTATAGGATAATTGTCTTTGATCTCTATAACCAATGCCACTAATACTATAATCCAGGAACACTTGATATGCATAAGGTTAAAAAATAACATAAACAAATTAAAATTCTTTTTTTAATATATAAATTGCTTTATAACAAACATTATAAAAAAAGGTATATAATGAAATAAACCAGATATAAACCTTTTTTTTAAACAGAATTAACATGAATCCATATGATCTTACCCTAAGGTTGAACAGCATAGCAACACAATAGTTCATTTTTTAGATATTAAAATTGAATTTAAAGAAGCCATACATACCAATGCATGTTACAAACTGGAATACATTCCTTTATTCATTCTGGCTGACTAAATGATCTATTTAAGTATAAATTAGCCGCTTTTAGATCATTAGTTAGGAGGGCATTTATCCATTGAATCAATATTGAGGATATGATCATAGAGCTTAAGCACATAAAGAGAATAGCAACAACACATGGGTACTAAATAAAACTTGTAGAATATTTAGCAAAAAAAAAAATGTATGTATGACACAATACCACCACAGGGCTAAAACGATAATCCAGCTAAGTCTAGAAAAATACAGGGTGATTTTTATTCATGCAAAACTTTTAATAACTTTTACACTACATGAGATAAAATGAAAACTCAAAAAGCATATTATACAGAATTTGTTGCCATTTAATGAATCAGGTTTTCAAAAAGACTACCTTCACTCACAATAATTGTTTTTAATCGATTTTTGAAACATTCAATAACAGTAATAAAGGTCTTTCTTGGAATAACCATTATTTTTTTTAATGTGTCTATCAACTCCTCAATAATACTAGATATAAGAGCATTGTGATATACTCTATCTTTAAAAGAGCACCATAAAAAGAAATTACATGGATTTAAATAAGGGCTATAAGGCAGCCACTCCATGCCAACACCACATTTTTCATTATCCAATCAGATTACACACTTCTTAAACATGCAGTAAAGGCTTTTGAATGCTTGATTTGTGCAATGAGGCCTTGCATCATGTTGCATAAACCAAACACAACAATGTTTATGCCCAACAAGCACTTTGGGATAAAACTCCTTTTCCAATAATTCAACATATGCAGCAGAAGTAACGTTCTTTTCGAAGAAGAATGGTCCAATAAGGCTAACATTAGATTTCTTTTAAGAAAGCTAAAGAGTTCGATCAATTTCTTTTCTGAAATGCCAGAACTTCTTAGCCCACTTCAAATATAATTTGAATTTGATATTCAAACATGGTCTAATACACAAATTTTCTATTAATAAGCTTCTTTTCAGTAAAATCATCATGGATTCTATTGTTTTTTATATTACAGTAGAGCATTGATTATCTGACTCAATTGGGGACTGGGGTTGGTCGGATAACTGAAAAAACGGATAACCGAAAAATATGAAAAAATACATTATTAGTATAGTATATTAGTATATCTCATGTAATTAGTATATTAGTATATCGCTATTAACCTACTTCACATTGAATTTTCATCGATGTTAAGCCTAACAAAAATTTTTTTTTACATAATAATCGTTGCTATTGTATCGTTAAAAATTAGAAAATTAAACCTCGTCTAAATACTGGCTCCCTTTCATGGTCGAGCCATGTTGCTAGCTAAAACACGTAAAAATACTATTAAAGTAGCCAAAACATAGCCAAATATTGTAGCGCCACATCACTAGCAGACATTTGAATTTGCCGACTAGAACGGTTGGTTAACCAATGTGACGGTTAATCAGGGGTCGGATAATCGATGCTCTACTGTATTTCAATATAAAAGTCTCTAATAGCTGAAATGTATAAAATTTAAAAACAACATACCATGCATACAAAATTTCCAGCAAATATGTATTTAAATTAAATACAAAAAAGTGGAATGTTTTCAACTCTTTTAGGAGCCTTCATCAAGCATTGAACTTTACCAAACTTTAGAGATTCTATTTTTAGAACATATTTTAAAATTGTTTTCCTTTTGATATCAACCGATTTTTGAATGTTTAACACATATGTGTTATATTTTTCATCTACTCTACAAATTATTATTATAAAATAAAAATTTATACAAATAAAATTATTATGACATGAAAATATATGCTTGTAGTACTTATACTAATTTATCCATAGTATCAACATGTTCATATTTCGTTTATCTGCTTCCCTTTATAGGATTATAAACTAATGACTGCCATGCAACAGATATTGAGCCATTTGAATAAAAAGTAGTAAATGTTTAAAAGTAATTAGTAAAAGAAAAAATACTTACTGTAAGTAAAAGCTTTGAAGTAAAAGTACTTACTTTTTTATGTGTGAATAAAAGTTTACTTTTACTTATTAGTAAATGATTACACTTTTAAGTAAATACTGGCAACACTATCGAAATGGAGTCGCCATGTGAAGAAGGAAGCCACCTGATCTTTGCTAATGTTTTAAAAAAAATATAGATAATAATTAGACAAGTCACAGGTTCCTGCTATTAAAAGAAAAAAAGAAATTGCCCTTCAACAAATGATTGAAGAACTGAAGATAAATCATGCAATTGAGATGAACAACTCATGACGAAGCTGAACAACATTAAAATCAACTTAAAAAAGAAGACAAATCTAAAACAGACTGGAAATAACTCGGTTGTGCTAAAAGAATGGGAAAAGGTGATTTTTGATTTGCTGGATGGAGAGACGAACCCAACTGTAAATTGTATTGCAAGTAAGTAAACAATAAAGTTACGAATTTGTCCTGATTTGGCAGAACAAATCATCGATCAATGAAGGCAATTTTTGATCTGTTACTTTCAACTAGCAAATAATTAATTTTTGTTAATTATAGGTGCACAGTCTGTAGGCATATTGCCAGGCCCCAGCAGTCAAAAACCGAAGTGAGTTTGACAATGAGAAGGATGAAAGGGCTGAAGAGCAGTCTTTTATATCTTCCATGCCTCTTCCACACACTGGAAATGAAAAGAAAAGAGAATGTATTCTTCCGGAAACAGAGAAATTTGAATTCTTATCAAACAGCAAGTTACAATAATTGTTGCTTCTTGAACAACTGGAATACATAAGGATGCAGAAGGGACAACTCAATGAATTGCCCTCACTGATCGTATTTTTATTGCCATCAAGTTCCGAATCAGAATATTCAGAAACTTTGCAAATTGGTTAAAAACGTTTGTATGACAAATAAATAAAGTGATTCTGCCTGACAAAATAATAAAGTTTGAGTTTTTAATCACATTTTTTTGAGTTTATAGTTTGGTTTGGTTGTATTCATTTACGGCAATGTGACATATGAACACTCTTTTGAGGGGGAATATCTCACGGAAGGTTTTTTATGGGAAAGTGGCCCTTATTCAGATATTACTAACTTGAAGAAAACCCAGAAAACTCCATGTGGTTGGCTTGTTGGTCAGGCAAGAACGTACAACCAACTACCAATATTCAGTGGTTCTATAAATTTGTCCCCGGTGGACCTTTTAAGATTATATATAATTCTTTTATTTTCAAAATGATTATCTTACAAATTTATTTAGTTTGATCCATTTATGTTTTTGGTCTTTTTATTTTGCTACAAAAGCCAAAAAAGAAAGTCACAGAGTTTATTGATTAGAGTACAAAATTCAGTGATGGTTTTCCCAATGTCTTTTCCTTGTTTTTGAATTTGAGCCTCGCTTTCCTCACATGGATCATTGTCTGAATCATTGCAATCCAGCAATATTTCAGAGAAATCCAAGCAGTCATCATTTAGGTATTTTGATGTGTTGTGGAGAAAGCAACAAATGATTAATTAAAGAAGGTACTCGATTGAGCACAACTCTCATTATATAGGCCAAAATAGGAAACCTGTTTCATCTGCCCTAAACAGCATTCAATAATAACACACTCCTTCATAAACACTTTGTTAAAGTGTTCTTCTTCAAGAGTCTTAGAGTTGTTGTAGGGAGTCAACAGCCATGATGCAATACCACAGCCAGCATCTGTGAGTAGAAGTACATCTTTGGACTTCATCATAACTTACATTCTGCACAGCATTTCTAAATTCAACTGTCACAAACACATCCAGGCCAATGCACATTGACACTAGTAAACCAGTCGTTGGCATTGCATGTGACCTGAATGTTTATTGTCAAAACTCTTTTCCTGTTGACAAATTCGTCCCCCATGAAAGCCAGGTTTCAAGATTCGCATGTATGTGCAGTCAAGTGTTCCAATACAATTTGGAACCGAGAATCATTTTCACCAATTCTGTTTCGCAGTTTCATTTTTGCTAAATGTTTTCGGAAACCTTATCCAGTCCCCTGCATTTGCAATAATGCAGTCAGTTATCTAAATAGCAATAAACGTATTGTAACTCAGTTTTCTGTAAATAATAGTGCATAACTTTCAAATTTACCTGTTTAATAGTCTTGCTGACAGTGCTTGGGTGAATGCCAATGTTGTTTGCAACTCCTGTCTGAAATCCCGGATTAGAAATGTATCTTAGAAATATCATCATTTTAGTTTTGGAGGAAAGAGCACCTCTCCTTGTCTCATTTTTACAACCAAGAAAGTGGTTGGCAATCCACTCCACATTCTCTTCATCAAATCGATATAATTTCCTGAAATCAGCAGTTATCATATTGTTTCTGGGTCTATACTGCTTAGTTTTCTTGACAACATTGTTGGATAGAACAAAGCCATTTTCTCTATGTTGAAAATCAAAAATATATGAATATGAAACTTTTCACTTGTGTTTATAGGTACCTGTACAGCTACCTTCAATGTTTTGAAGTATTTACTTAAAAAAGGAAATACTTTTAAGATTATATATAATTCTTTTATTTTCAAAATGATTTTCACTTGTTTTTATTCACAGATTTATAAGCATTTACTAGTCTTTATAATCAATGTGAATAAAACCAAGGTTTTACTTTTTGCTTTTACTACCTTTTACTGTTAGTAAAAGCATTTATTTTAACTTTTATTCATCGAACTTCTAGTAAATGCTAGAAAAATTGTAATAAAAGTATTTACTACTTATAGACTCTCACCTAAACGTGAAATTTTCAGGAAAACACCTAAATTCAACAGATATTCGACACAAAAACACAAGATATTCGACAGACAAAATTTAAGAACATTAGAGGCCGCAGAAATCTACAGGGCTGACATAAGAGGAACATGCATCAACACGAATTACATTCCCATACCAAATGCATGGAAATATTATTTACACTCTTAAAGGAAATGATATGTTGCTTAATATATGTCACAGCCAATGTTTGAACCAATTTTAAAAAAAATTTAAAAATTACGTGTACAATGCAGCAACATTCTATAAATAGAACAGTTATTTTTATTTGACTTTTCCTGATGAAGGCTAATTAATGAGTGGCTGAAATTTGATGTTTAGGTGAGAGTCTATATATTGTTCCAGTTTTTTTTGTGGTTTTTATATTTACTACTTTTCATTCAACTGGCCCAATGTCTCACAGTCTTTACTATTAATGTACATTCCATCGATTGATGCATTAAAAATTTCCCAGATCTCCAAGGTTCCATTTTTTGAATTTAGTTCAAATACACATTATTTGTTGAAAATTTTGTATGCATGGTATGTTGTTTTTAATTTATTATTTCAATAATTCATATAAAAATTAATTTAAAAAAAAAAACAATTTTAAAAAATTACCTGAATTTCTGTAGGTTTATGATGAATCTTTTCTGCAAACTGAGAAAGTGTATGTTGAGGTTCTAAAATAAAATAATTTGCTTTATCTGAATGATAAACAGTACTGATAGCATCCAAGAGTAAACCAGATAAATATGTTGTTTGAGTCTAATTGGAAACAATTTTTTAATATGAGAATTTACTGCAAAATTTTCAAAATTACAATAGGTTGATTTAACTTACTTTTAAAAAAACTGACTGTAATACTTGAAATGCTTGAATATTTCTTACACTTGCTCCTTTAATATCAAATAAAGAAAGATAAAACAATAAAAATATTCATTTTAGTAGTTTGAGTAAAAAATATAATCCATCAAAAATTAAAAATACTATATATGCATAGTAGAATCCAAAAGTTCAGGGACTTGATGTGTAGTAGTAGGGAAATATAATTATTCTAAACTAAAGCATGTGTTGATATAGCAAACTGTCTATGAACTGGAAACACCGTGCAAGACTGCTTGAAACAAGAAGAAACCTGTTTCTCAGTTGCCCACCAAGTTATGGATGTGTGAACAAGTGCCTGTATACAAGTGTCTTAGATTAGAATAAAGTTTAATTCTAAATTAAAGGACTGCCTCATCATTTTTGTAACATGTAGTTCCTTGTCTTAATAGTTTAAAATACTGATGATGCACAACCACTTTCAAACTAATCCCCTTGGATGATGATACATTTTTTCCAGCACTCATACAGCTTCTGGAAACATTGCTGTCAGCCATCTTTTGCAACTATCCATAATGCCTCCTTTGATGCTGCTTGTATCTATTTTATGATGACTGAAAATGATGTCAAAACTAGGCAGTTTATGATGGATGGACTAATGTAAACATCACATATCTGTACATAAAATGTATTTCAATGAGTCCATCATTATAAACTGCTTGAGATCATTTGGACATCATTTTGAGTCATCAAATCAAGTAAAAGCAGCATCACAGAAGACATTATAGATAGTTGCAGAAGATGGCTTACAGCAATGTTTCCAGAAGCTATATGAATGCTGGAAAAAGTGTATCGTCACCCAAAGGGATTAGTGATCGAAGATGGTTGTTCATCTTCAATGTTTTAAACTATTCATTGTCTTGAATAGTTTAAAACATTGTCCCCAAACTTTTGGATCTACCATGTATAAATATATTAATTTTCTTAAACATTTAAATAACAGATTAATTTTAAATGCATTATATTTAATCAGCTTCTCAGATTGTCGCTAGAATGATTTCTATATTTGATACTATATAATATTTTGTCCATTTTATATTCAAAACAGAGAAAATGACTTCCTGCAAGAAAAATACTATTCAAATATATGGATGCAATTGCTAAGATTAAAAAAGAAACCATTTGTTTTAAATATTTATTATTTAATATAAAATATAAAAATCCTTTAAACAATGATTAAAAAATTAAAATGAGTTATTGATTTTAAGTGAATATCAAAGCTTTAATGAAGTAACAGATAATGAACAAGGCATCACCAATTAAGTTCACTTCAAAAGTGAACAGCAGTGAAATGACTTGTTTGGTAGATCTGATTCAACAATCCAATGTCAAACTGTGAATGCTGAATTCAGTGATTACTAGAAACTACTAAAATGGAAGCATTGAATAGGAGTAAAACCAAACTTCTTCAGTTATATTTGAATTGATTAATATAATTAATGATTCAAGAATTTACATTATAAACAGGAATATTATCATCTATTGATTGCAATTTAGAAATAACTTTAATCCAGTTTACATATACATGAATAAACCTTAACTTAAAATAGAACTTCTAACTTTGTTTAACATGAGAATGCAATCCAGCCTTATTATCAGAACTGCAATCCAAAGTTCTTCCAAAATATATTAATTTTAAATAGTATATAATCACAAAGATCATTTAAATTTAACCTAGACATTAAATCTAGCCCAGAAATTTTTGATATAACATTTTTTCTTTTAAAATTACAGATTCAATATATATATTTTTTAATTAACATAAAATATTCTAAGAAGAATAAAATAAATGTTATTTAAAATATGTACTTTGATTTCATTTACAATTAAATAAAAATATGTATTTATACCTAAAACCTGCATTAGTTAATCACTATAATGCTAAATAATAAAATATTACATTTATTAAGCTTATTCAATAAAAGCTAACATACCTGATGGTTGAGGCAACTGAAATCCAGGAATTTGGAAGAGAGATCCAGTACTAGCTTGGCTTGGTTTTAATTCTATAAATCCACAAATTGTAAGTGAAGCTATTAAAAGGACTAAATTTCTTAATGCTTCACAAGCCTCTTGTGATGTATCTTGCTCCATTCTATTGTTTATAATTATATTTTATTAAAACAATCACTACAAAATATTTAAAATTAAAAAATCTACCTCAAAAGAAATTCTGAAAGAAAAATATATCCTTGGCAAGAACGAAAATCATCCAATAGAGATTGTGAAACTTCACTTGAATCTTTCAAAAAACAGAAGACTGTAACAAACATTTCCACAATTTCTAAAGGAGATAATTCTTGAACTCTCTGCATATTCTCCACACATAATGAAACACATTCTTTATCTAAAAAGTGAATATTTTAATTATTAATTAAATAAATAATTAAAAAAAATTGTTTTTTTTATTTACATATCTTTCTTAATATTTTCTTATCAAGAAAGAATTATAAATCAACATTATGTGTTCTATTTTATCTATAATTTTCATGCTTATCTATTACTATAATCATTAAATACACTTTTTATTCAGTTCCATTAAAATTTTCTTTCTAATTTTTTAATTTAAAAATTGTGTAAAAGTTCTATTTTTCTCTTAAACATGGCAAAATATAAAAAATAAATAGTTGTTAACTTAAATAATTCATTTATGATGTTCTTATACTAATTAAAACACTCAGTACAATTCAACATAAGCTTAATTCTAAAGTATACTTTACTCTTAATTAAAATTTCACTGATTTTATTGACAGAATATAAAAAAAAAAAATTAATTTTAAACACAATCCTGTATGAAATATGACAAAATAAAAATTTAAAGAAAAACTTAGATGTGATAAATAAAATTTCTAAACAAAACAAATGATTATGTTGAAGATTTCAATGGTTAGAAAGTTAAAGAGATATGCAAATAATATACAGTACTAATTTACACTACCATAAAAATTAGCATATCAAGAAGGAATTGTTGTATTGCTGCAAAACTTGGCATGCAAATAAGTCTCAAGCAGATATGGAAATAATAAGAGTTACAGCATGATAGCTCATTGCATAATGCCAGAAGAGAGCATTCCCCCTTTGTCCTATAAAAAAAACCCCCCTTGTCCTATAAAAAAAAAAAACACACAAAGGAATCCTGTTGCAGAGGGATGTCATCTCACCAAACAGCCTGCCACAAAGACTGTTCTGATAGCACTATTAGGAGGTGTTGGGACAAGTGGACAAGAGAGAGCTCACACACATGGCATCCAGGTTCAGAATGCCCTTGATAGACCACTGGCAGAGAGGATTGCCTAGTCCTCTGACAAGCATGCACACAGTCAACCATATTGTTGTCTGCCATCCAGACACAGGTGGCACCATCATTACAGGCCCTTGTATCTGTCCATACCATTTTGAGGTGCCTGGGAGAGGATCATTTGATATTGCAGTGGCCATTAAGTGTGCTGCCATTGATAGCCATCAACCACTGCCTCCATTTGGAGTGATGTTGCTCCTGTCAGGATTGGACCACAACAGAATGGAACTGGGTCATCTATAGCAATGAATCCAAATTCAGTTTGGGCACTGACAATGGCCATGTTTGTGTCTGGAAGCCCTATGGTGAATGCTTCAATTCTGCATACAATTTGGAGTGGCACACTGCCCTCACAGTTGTTGTGATGATCTGAGGTGTCATCACATATGATAGCCAGTCACCTCTAATAGTGATCCAAGGGACCATGACAACCCAGAGGTATGTTAATGACATCCTGCAGCCATATGTGTTGCCTTTCATAGTAGGGCTCCAAAGAGCCATTTTCCAACAGGACAATGCTTGAGCACATACTGTAAGGGTGTCACAGGAGTGCATTTGCCACATTGCAACACTTCCCTGACTTGCACAGTTCCCTAATTTGTCACCAATTGAGCATGTCTGGGATCACCTGGAATGCCAAGTTGGACAGCCTAGGAGTTTGGATGAACTAGAGCAGTGTTTTTCAACCTGTGGGTTGCGGGTAAAAGAAAAAGAGAAGTGCTTGTAGGTCCTACACTACATTAAAAAAACTACAATTTCAGCGAGAAATTCAGTGTTTATTATACAGTACAGTTGGTTTTTTGATTGACATTTAGGTCCGAATGATGGGTGTCGCCTGGGAGGGGCCTGGGTGGGTACGGCCCAGCCCAGAAAATGATTGCTGAAAAAGTGTTGAGCTGACATGTAAAAAGAAATAATAAGTAGAAAAGTAGAAGTGAAAAACTCTCATCCTAAAAAAAAAGGTAACATACTATACGTGTCTTAAGTTATTGTCGATTCTCCTTAAATTCTCATTTTAGTCAACAGTAATTTCTCTCAACTGAAAGAAAATTAAATACATAATTTTTTAAATCACTGATATAGTTTTAATATGGCCCTAGGGGGTCGCCTGAATTTTTTAACTTGTAAAGGGGTCACGTATTCAAAAAGGTTAAAAAACACTGAACTAGAGAACCAATAGCAGTAACTGTGTACTGAAATGTTGCAGGACACCATACATGTGCATAATGGTGTCCTGTCCACCCATATCATATCATGCATTCATGTTAGCAGTGACCCAACAGGGTGCTTCTGATACTTCTGAGAAAAGAGATTAGAGAGCTGTCCGTCTTTTAAGCGACATACTTAGCCCTTGGAAGTAGGAAAGAAGAGAAAGCATGAGATGTGAAGTGTGAAAAGAAAGAAAGATAGGATAGTGTGAAAGAAGGCATGGGACTCGTGGCGTCTGCATCGGCATTTTTTGAACAAAATAATACAATATATACAATTATAATACAGCTGGAGTCTTTCCAGAGTTTAAGTCCCGACAATGTTTACAATAACTTATATTATGTAAGAAATTAGAATTGCTGATTACATAAGCCCTTGAGGGTTAACAATAATAATTGGAGCAGCGCGGGAATGGGACTATCAATGGTAGTCCTTTCTGCTCCAAATCAAGTGAATGTGGCAAGCATGGCAAGTTGGACTGGTACTTACAGTCTCAACTGCCAAGCAAGGAAAAGAGTATAATTTCAAAGTTTCTTCTCGAAGGATTATTACAATGGTGGGAGACCTTGTAGAATAATTTTAAACCAGTTGGTTAAATTGAAATAATAAAAATATTTACAAGTGACTCATTGCCTTGTTTTGCGTGACCATATACTTCCATGTAGTTTTGTTTCAACGTCCGCTTTCACGCAGAAGTCTCACTCTCTACTCCCCTTTCTTCACCTGTTGTAGTCTGAATTCCTGTATCACTTTCATCATCCTCCCTTCTGATGATGTCTTCCTCTTCTTCCGAGTTGTCAGTCATGTGTTCTTTGTTGTCACTATTTTGTCTGTCATCCTTTTGATGTTTGTTTTTGTGGTTAATTTCAATAAGCACCTTAGTGTCGTTTATATATTTTTCCAAAGCTTTAAACAGGTTTTTATCTGTTACTAGATCAGTGTCTCTCGGGGGCCAATTATGGCCTGCACGTAAGCATTTTTCTATAAAGGTCTCTCGTTGATTATTAAATTTGGTGCATTCCATTAAATAATGGTGAGCGTTGTCTTCTTTAGTGGTATCAATGTCGCAATAGGGATTATCTATTTTCTTGAATCTATGTAAATATGCTTTAAAGTTACCATGATTTGTTATACATTGTGTGATCCCAAATGAGAGATTAAAAACTTTGTTTTGTAATCTGTCTTTTATGTTAGGGAAGTACTTGAAACAATTGCGGCCAGTTGTAGATGTTGTCCATTCCTGTTGCCATATTTTTTCCGTTATATTCTTAATTTGTTTTTTAATTTCCTTTATTGGAATCCTTGTATAGATCCTATTTATGTCAGTTCTTGTCGCTCTTTTGGCTAATTCATCCGCCATCTCATTTCCTTTATGGCCTTGATGGCCTGGAATCCAGCTGAAAGTGATGTTCCGGATTCTTTGTATTTTTTCAGATATCTGTATCAATTCATTTGTTAATTTAGTTTTCCTGTTTTTTGTTTTAAGAATTGACAGAGCCGTTTGGCTATCCGTATGAATGTTTAATTCACCTCTATAATGATTTTTATTTTTGTAAATGTGATCCAGAGCTTTATATATGGCAAATGTCTCAGCTTGCACAGTTGTACAGTAATCCGCTATTTTGAATGAACCTTGATACATTGTATTTCCATTTTTTCCTTTAATTATGATTCCACTTCCCACCCCTGTGCTAGTTCTCGATCCATCTGTGTATATGTTTATGATGTTTCTTTTGTCGGTGGCTTCTTTGTAGTTCAATTTTATTTTGTATGTCTCTTTTTCTGCTGGATTGGCAATGATTGTTGTTTTGTCTATGTCTTCCGTATCATTTTCTATAATTGTTTTGATTAGTTGTTTGTTATCGGGGAGTTGGCCTTTCTTTATTTCCGTCGTTATCTGTTCTTCTGTTTTAAACTTGTTTTTTCCTTTGATTAGGCTTCTTTCCCATATGATGTCCTTGGCAGCCAGATGTATTGGTTTTAATTTGGCCATCACCAATAGGGCGTCCGTAGGAGAAGTTCTATATGCCCTGCATATTCTAATGGCAGCTTTTCTTTGTATTGTTGTTAATTTCTTTTTATTATAGTTTTTCTCCAGTGCTTCTCCCCATACTTGTACTCCGTATAATATTCCCGGTTCAATGGCTCCTTTGTAGATGAGACGGGCATTCTTTGGGCCCAGACCCCAGGTGTTTCTGCTGATGTGTTCAATCAGATTCGTTCTTTCTATCATTTTACCATATACTTCGTGTACATGCGTCTTCCAGTTTAAATTCCTGTCAAAAAAGATTCCTAGATATTTTAACGTTTGGACATTTTTTATGTTTTTGCCTCCTATTTTCACTGCTATTGGTTTTTTTAATTGGTTTCCTTTGTCCTTCCTTGTGCATACTAAAGCTTCACATTTGAAGTGATTAATTGGTTGCTTGTAATTAATGCTCCATTGATTGATTATCTCTAATATTTTGTTGGATTCGTCTCTTAGCTTGTCACAGTTTTTGTTTGCTATCATTACCAGCGCGTCATCTGCGAATGCTTGTGTGTGTGTATCTTCTGTGTCTGGGATTTTGTTCAACAGCCCATCGAATGCCAGATTCCAAAGGCCTGGCCCACTTCTTGAGCCTTGTGGGCATCCTCTTGTGATGTTCTTTTTAATCGTTATGTTGTTTGAGTGGAAGCCAGCTTGTCTATTGTCAAGATAGTTTTTCAATATGTTTTTAAGGTTTTGTGGACATTTAATTTCATTTAACCTCTCCATTATTCCTGGCCACCACATGTAGTCAAACGCCTTCCTAAAGTCAATTTTTATCAGGATTGCGTGTTTACCTTTTTTCCATGCA